CCCCAAAACCCCAAAACCCCAAAACCCCAAAACCCCAAAACCCCAAAACCCCAAGCAAAGTTTTTAAAATGGATGTTAAATATTAAAATTAATCTGGTCCGTATTTAAACTCTTTGTCATTCCTAACACCTCATTTAGCTCTTGGTCCTCAACTCGGTTGTTTGTTAGCACTGAATCTTTCCTCTTCTTAGCCCGTTGGGAAAGAGTATATTCTTCATTATATTCTTTAGAGAAATCCTTCTGGCTAAAGGACATTGACAGAATTGAGTTCAACTCCGAAGGCCGATGTAGCTTACTACCATCAATTGACTTTTTATTCTGGTCAAATATCGAAGAATCATTCGCATCATCTTCGTCAGATGAGGTTACATAGTCAGGAATACAGTCTAGGTTTAATTGTGGGATACATTTAGGTCTATCAGGTTGCGGCATAGGGCCCTCACAGATGTCCTCATAGCTAGCTTGTGAATCAAAGCTGATCTCGGGCGGTTTATTTTCTTCCATGTTTTCCTTCATCCATTCATCAAACCTGTCAGTTGGGATGTCTCTAAGCTGCTCATCATAAATTTTATTAACGTCTATTCCTTTGTTGTGCATAATATAGAACAGATACATTAGCTTGCTTTCTTTTTGTCTAAGGTAGCTGATTTCATCTTTCTGCTTATGAATCGTCCTTTTATATTTTTCAATTTCCTCTTTCTTCACTTCCTCATTTTCTTGTGAGACTTTGACATTAACGTATCCAGGTTTTGGGGGGATCAGCTGCTGGACCATCTCTTCCATCTTTTTGTATTGATCATTCGCTGTCTTCTGGTCATCCTCCAATTTCTGGATTCGTTCGAGTAACTTCTCTTCATTCTGCTGGGATTTCTGTAGAGATTCCTTAAGTTGGTTTATTTCAGCTTTGTATTTTGTATCGTTAGGACTTGGCAATGAAAATTTAGGAATCTTAAATTTATCACGACTCCCTTTCTTCTGTTTGGTAATTTTCTTCCCTTGCAAACTCTGCCGCTGGCTTAAATTCCCTTTATATCCGGTTGAATAGAATTCAGCCTGGAGATTTCTTTTAGCACTAGTGTGTTTCTTCTTCTTAAAACTAATTTTTGAGGGATTATCTGGAATCAATCGTACTATATTTGGACTACAAGTCCCTATAGATTCTTGAGGTGGTGAGGTAGTTATAAAGCAGTTATTTTAACTTCTTCTTTAATTTCCTTTTCTTCGACGATCTCCTACCTCGACTCTTAGACTCTTTTCTCATAACTTCAGGCTCATTCAGCACATCCTCTTCATAATTTTCCGATTGTGGTGCTACCTCTACTATCTCTCTTAGTGTTTCATCCTCACCTGTTTCCAGCATCTTCGTCTTCATGAATCCAGTTGTCTTCAGCATATTCTCTCTTATTCAACTTTTCTTCCTATATTTTCTAAGTAAAATTGAGCCAAGGAGCAAACAGAAGGTGAAAATAGAAAATTTATTTGTGTAGAGTGGAGATTTTGGGATTTTGAGTGGGCTTACTTGGAATTTTTGGATTTTGACTTGGGATTTTTGGAGAGGCGTTCTTTGGAAGGGGGCTTAGAGGAGGGGTTTGCGGTGGTGAAGCTGTGCAGAGGGGATTTTTGGGAGGGGGTGAAGGCTATTATTGCGTACGTTAAATAACGAGAGTTGTTGAGAAATGATCTTTTTGGCATAAATCACAAAAATTCTTCAATATGATGATTATTTATGCCTCAAAAATCCAGAAATTCGTCTGAAATACTTACCGATTCCATCTCCATTCTTTGGCGATAATTTAGCCAAAGTGTTGAATGAGTTAGAAGCATATTTAGGGAACATATTACTCTTCCCAGTCTTACTTTTATGATTAATTTTTATTATAGCCGAACAAGTGCCTAATGAACGTCAAACAGGGTTCAGGACAATCAATGTATTTGAATTTCCTTGTTTCTTCTTAAGTTTCCGTGTCCCTCTACGCTTGTGTAATGTCTTAGTGGTAGGCTTTATAATCCTAGCTATAATTCTTTGATAAAAGTTAATCTACCACCCAGCCTCATAGTTTCATAATATAACAGATGAGACTTGATCCGATCTCGTGTATGATTTACCTGTTATATCATACAGAGTGTGTAACCCCAATTTCTTATGAATAAAGCTTACCTTTTCCTGCTGTCTTTCAGCATTAGAACAAGAAGTGCTGTTCTTCCTTCTTGATTGAGATTTAGTTGACTCTTGTGAAGGCTTGTGCTTTAGGAATATTTTTTGGTTTTCTTTTGAGTGAGACATTTGAAATGGTTTAAATTATATTATTAAAAGGTGTCTGGGGTTTTGGGGTTTTGGGGTTTTGGGGTTTTGGGG